GCTTTTTGATTGTAAAAGAGAACAAAATTATCCCACTATGTTACCTTGTGATTTACCTTACCTGTAGGGGAAAAAAAAAAAAAAGGAAGAAGAAGAAGAAGAAGAAGAAGAAATGTAAGTAATGTCAGCCTGTGCTTATCAGATTGGCAAAAGTAAGTTTACTCCTCTCGGCACACCTGTGGGAACTTCCTGTAGTCTCACCCGGTCACTGACAGTGTGAACTGGTACTGCCCTCTCAAAAGTCAGTTTGTGTGTAGATAGAAGACACCATTAAACTATTCATTCTTCTGCAGTATCTTTCAGGAAAATGATCTGTGCTAAGTAAAAACTATAAGCAGAAGTACTTATGATGGTATTATTTATAATGGTGGAGAAAAAGTCAGCAACAAGATAAGTGCCCAAAAGTAGAGACTAGGAAATTAAAACAGCAGTTGTAAAACTTGTATAGTTGCATGGGCAGTACTAGGATATATGAATAATTATTTGTATATCAAGTTAATAGATTCAATTCTGAGTGTAAAATTACATCTGTAGTAAATGGGATATATTTTAGGGTACCTCCAAGTACAGTGGAAAGAACATTTGAGTTAGAAATATGTGGGCTGATATATAAGCCAGTGAATTGATCGCACGCATGTGTGTGTGTGTGTGTGGGTGGATGGGTGGGTGGGTGAGTGTGTGGGTGGTCTTGGACCACTAATTTAGCCTTCTGGGCCTAGGTTCCACATCAGCAGTTCACAAATCATAATCATACCTAGAGACTTGGAGTGCTAGTTAAGGGAGGTTATGCCTATAAAGCATTCAGCCTCCGGACCTAATGCCATGCTGGCCTTGTCCCTGTGTGCTCTGAACCGGGCCACCGAGTCCTGGTGTGGCGGTAGACACCTGTAATCCCAGCATTAGGGATGCTGAAAACAGGAGTATTACTATGAGTCCAAGCTGTGTAGTGAGACCCTGTACCAAATACATTTTAAAAAATAATAAAAAATAAAGCAGCATGGTTCCTGAAACAAAAGAAGTTAGCCAATAAGTGGCAGCAGTAATAATTAATATAATCACATATGGTCATTAACATTATATGAAAAAATGCTAAACAGTGTATACCAAAATTAGGATCATATTGGGATTATGGCAAGTTTTTTCTAAAGTGTTAGGATTAAAAACACCATAGGCTGGGTGTGGTGACGTGCGCCTGTAATGCCATCTCTTGGGAGGCTGAATACAGGCGGATCACTACAAATCCGAGTGAGGCCCTATATACTCTATAGATCCTGTAGTAAAATACAAAAAAAAAAAAAAAAAAAAAAAAAAAAACCACATGATGGTTTTCACGAGACGTCTGAGCCCCGCCCCTTAGTCTGGCCCTCACTCACTGCAGGGCCCTTTCTAGTTTCTCAGCCTGGGTTCCATTATTCGTGCCCACACAGCACAGATCCAGAACGCCTTCCTTGCCATGAAGGCTCTGTTCCCGCAGGGTGTGATGAATGAGACAGGTAACGGTATCATTTTTGGACAAAACCTCACCGTGATGCATTCAGTCTAGCCTGGTGCGGGTTTTATTGTACCTCTGTAAAATAAATCAGTGATCTTATCAATGGTGTTTAGTTTTCAAAAGAAATCAGTGTTTCCATTGTACTTAACATAGGTTTATTACAACTCACAAATGAAAATTCAAAATTATATTTATCTTGTTCTTTAACAAGTCAGCCACTGTTAAGTGGTTGCCCTGTCCTTTTCCTCTTGTCATGTGTTTATTTTAAGGATAAAGGAGCTCTGGCTTACTGTAAAATACGTTTTACAATGTAATTGGCCTGGACTTGAACTGAAGAGAAAGCATTATCTCTGTTACTTCAAATACCTCAGAGATCGATGTAGAGGATGTGAGATTTCATTGGGTTCATAAATCATTTCCTAAAATGCATCTAAATAAAAACAGGAGAGCCAGGATTACTTAGTTTTATAATAAGTGGGATATTTCTTTTTTTTTTAAATGTATTTTATTTATTTATTTATTTATTTAGTGTGTGTGTGTGTGTGTGTGTGTGGCCAGCTCAGCCCACCAGGGGGCGGGGCGGGCTGGCATGTGGTGCTGGGGGATTGAACCGCAGTCCCTGTGCTTTGCTTAGCTTAAGCTTGTTCTAAGTAGGTGCTTTAGACCACTGAGCCATCTCACCAGCCCATAAGTGGAATATTTCAACCCTTACCTAATCCTTCCATGTTAAATTTTTGAAGTATACTTTTTGAGGGTTTTTATTATTAGTGTGCATTTTTCTTTATAGCATATTTTAATGTGTCTACATAAAAACAATATTGTAACTGGATACAGTGGCATACTGCTACAATCATAGTTACTTAGGAGATAAGGGCAAGAGAGTTCAAAGTTCAAGGCCAGCCTGGGCAACTTAGCAAAAATCTGTCACAAAATAATAAAAAGTAGGACTGGGATAAGGCTCAGCGTGAAGACCCTAGTTACAATAATACAAAAAAAGAAAAAGTATCTTAAGATAAATATTAACGCATAGCTGGCAACTATAAGGTACAGCTGCTGAATTATATTTCCCTGAATTATGAAGTGGTGACTTTCAGAGTAAAAGGAAAGGTGGTCAGCATTCTGACCAGGCCTGTGATGCAGATGTCGTATTTCCCTTAGAGTAGGAGGAGCTAACTAAAGACCTCAGCTCTCAGTCTGCTCAGTGGTGGACGAAGGCAGAATAAGCTCTCCTTTGGCAGGGGATTGTTAACTTAGCTTATTTCAGTCAGAGTTACTGATTGTGTTGGCCAGCTTTCCTGCCATGTCTAACAAAATACCTTTCAGGGAGGAAGGTTTATTTTGCCTACTAGTTGTGGAGATCAAGTAGATGCATTGCTCCGGGCTGTTGTCTGGGGTGGCACACCGTGGAAGAAACATGTGGTGGAGCAAACCACTTATGTCATGAGATGAGAAGGCAAAGAAAAGGAGGGACGGCCAGGGAGTCACCATCTCCTTCCAGGGCAGGCCTCTTACTTCCCAGGGAGGCGCTTAAACTATCTCCTCAGCCCAATATATATATTTTAAAAGGCTTTTAACCAACTGGCCAAATTGTCTTCAGACATTATCTCCCTGCTTGCACCTAGAGTAT